TTTGTCTCTTTAAATATCTCCTTCTCTTGGCTTGTAGATATCTGCCTGGTTTTCTTTCAATTTCTTACTCCACTGTTCTTTGCTGTCTCCTCCATATCTTTCTGACCTCCCTAACCCCTTGGAGTGCCCAAAGGTTAAGCTCTTGGACCTCTTCTTTAATCTATCTGTTCTCCCCAATTAAACAATTCCATAGAATCTCTTGGCTTTAGCTGTCATCCATATACCGATGAGTCCCACATTTATAAGTCCATAGTTCACATCTCTCTCCTGAACTCCAGACTTGCACATCCAACATCCTATCCAACATCTCAAGTCTAACATGTCCAACTGGACTTGTGATGCACACCACCACCCAACCTGCTCTTCCGACAGCTTCTCCATTTCAGTTAATGCCCGAGTCTGCCTCATCCCCATTGATAGCTACTCTATTCTTCTAGTTGCCAAGGTCTCAAACTTGGAGTCATCACTGACTTTATCCTGTCCTCTAAAACCTAATATCTTGTGCCAGATTCTCTTTCTAGCCTCATCTTCCATTATTCTTCCTCTTTTTCACTTAGCTCTAATCATGGTAGTCTTCTTGTTTTCCTCAAACACTGTAAAATCAGGCCTCTGTACCTGAAGATTTCCACCTAGAAATCTTATCCCTCAGATGTCAGCATTCCCGTCCTCATTTTCCTTAAAGTTGTTCTCAATATGTTTCCGCCTCAGAACTTATCGTTATCCAACATACTATATTTCGATTTATTTATCTTATTGTGTATCTCCTCCACTAAAATGCAAGCTGTATGATGATAGGGATTTTTGTTTGGTTTACTGTTGATTCTTATCACCTAGAACAGTGCCTACTATCTGGTATTTAGAAGTATGGGGTGAATGGATGAATGAATAATGGAAAAAGTAGAAAGGCAACTATGGATACAATTAAATAAACAGAAAGTCTAATGGGGTCACTGATCTTTTCTAACTAGCTACATAGTCTTTAGTATCTTCAGAGAGATTAAAAAAATCATTTTGCATGAAATAAGAACAATATACAAAGAAAGGAACAATCAGAAAAAGGAAGAATCTCTTGAAAATTAGAAATATGACTGCTGTAATTTTTAAATCAATTGAAGGAAAAAAGGCAAAATTGAGGAAGTTCATAGAAGTTAGAACATAAGGAAAAGTTGGAAAAAGAGAGGTAAGAGAAGCAGAGAACCAACTACTGAACGGTGTGGGGAGAAACAAGGAGACAAAATTATCAGGAAATTATTTTTCAAATTGCTCTAAGCTACAGGAGGGTCTTTAAATTGAAAGCACCCATCCAATACCAAGTAGAGATAAGGAAAGAAGACCCACAACTTAGCACATTATTATAAAATTCTTGAAACAGGAAGTATAAGGATCACTTTCACTGAAGCAAATATTTTAAGTAAAAAAAACAAAAAAAACAAGAAGACTTCTGCCACCCAAAATGAATCAATGATAATTTTTTTAGATCTTCAAGTCTTTTCCTAAGACACAAACCCACGTGGATAGATTTGACGCTCCATATTCCCCTTTCCCAATCCCACCACTCATGGTTCGGAAGGAAAATGATTTTTGAACCTATTGTAGAATTTCACATCCAGCTAAATGATTAACCAAACATGAGGGTAACATAAAGTTACTTTTAAATAGGCAAGGACTCAGAAATTTCACTTCCCAGGTACCTTTTCTGAGGTAATTACTTGAAGATGTTCTCTAATAAAATCAAAATGTAAATACAGAAAGAGGAAGATGTGGAACTAACCTAGGAAAAAAGAAATCCCAAGATGAGAAATGTGTAGTAACTCAAGAAAATAATTAACCAGAAGACTCTAAGAAAAATGCCTCCAAAGAAGAATGGAATATATTCCAAGCAATAGATATAAGAACTAAGGAACTGAATAATTTTGATCAGGTGGTAAAAAAAAATAATAATTAATTAATTAATTAATTCTCAATAACACAAAATAAAATTAAAAACTCTGGAAAAACAATACCTGGATAACAAATCCATGGTCCTCAAATGTGATATTATTTTAAACTGTTGACTGATAGAATGTAATGTTAGGAATCTTTTTCCTTTGAATGATGCAAGAGTTGTAACTCTGATTTCAGTGATCTCTACATTGAAAACTATTTTTAATAGACCAATTAAAAACAGAATTGGTTAAAAGGTGCCTTTAAAAAATAAAATTGGACTTTTAAAAAACTTGTTTACATATTCCATTTTATTAAAAATGTAACATGAGGGCCAGCCAAGTGGCTCGTTTGTTAAAGAGTTGGCTTGAAAGCATGAGCTCTAGCAGCAGGGCTGCGGTTTGGATCCCACATATGAGGGCCAGTGATGCTGTGCTCTCTACAGCTAAGATAGTAAACAACAGCTCAACCTGGAGCTGGGCTGCCGAGAGTTGCCTGCGATGGCGTAGGCTGCAGTGGGGCTGCAGTGGGCTGCCAAAAGCTACCGTGAATGGCCGGCAGCTTGCGTGAGCTGCCGTGAGCCACCATGAGGGGCTGTCCAATGGCTGGCAACCGATCTGCCTCAGCCGAGAAGGGTGCAATGATAATACCAACATGGGCCAGTGAAGCAACATCCTCCACAACTAGACTGAGGAACAAAAGGACAGCAACTTGTCTGTTCCCCTTCCCCAATTCCCCAGTGCTGTTCCCATCCCCTAATTCCCCAATAAAATCTTAAAATAAAAAAAAAAGTTAACATGATACAAAATAAGAATGAAGGCAAGATTACTAAACCTGGTGGTTGGGTAAAAGTGTGATGTGGAACAGGATATTTACATAGTCTCAAAGTGTCTGCTAACAAATTTCTTATCAGTTGCCAAGGGGAAAATAGTAACTTTACTGGACAAGTATAGCAGACTTCACCTTAATCAAGCAATCAAAGTTAGCCAACATGGACCACGCAGTTTTAACAGGAAGCAAATAAAACAGAAAGGTGTTCACAAATAGAGGGAACGAGAACAAGAGACAGAAAGTCTCAATGATGATGAAGAATAGATGGATGACGCTCTACTATCCCCTTATGTGAAGAACAGTTTCCATTTTCAACCTTATTCTCACTTTTGACTCCACAAACATCTTTCACAACTTCATAGACATTTTTATTAATAACTCTCAAATTACTTGTTCCCAGAATTCAATTCTTTTTTAAATTTTAGAGCTATATTTCCCAAATCCCAATTAGACATCTTTAACCTTTATTTCTTCAGATTCCTCATATTTACTATATCAAAATCACTCTCTTCATCTTCCTCTCCAATCTAGCACTCCACTGGAATTCCCTTTCTCAACTAGTAAAATTCACAAACTACCCTCATCAAAAACAGAAACCTCAGCTATCTTCAATTACTTTCTCTCCTTCATTCCACACTCAATTCAATTCTATTTCAACTTCTTAAAATATTATTAAATATCTACTATGTGCTATATGTCTTATTAGATGCCAGTGAAAAAAATTAATCAGATACAAATCCTCTAAATTTTCTCATCAAAACGTTGTTCAAATTCATTCTATCTTCTCCATTCCTAGTACCATAGTCTTTGTATAGGCCTTCATTATCTCTTATATGTTCTAACTCATTTTCATAGCTCCAATCATTCCTCTTCCCTCAAATCTCACAATAGAATTAGTTTTTGTTTCCTAAATCTCAAATTTGTTCATTTCACCACCCTGTTAAAACTATCAATGGCATAATTAAAGTTAATGCCAAACTTAAAGGGCTTGGTCAATGACTAGGAACTGAATTTTTCTATCATATTCAACAGCAAGTGTTAGTTCAACATAACAAAAAGTTTTAAAAAACAAATTTATTTTGGATAATTTATTTTATTCCAAAAGATAAATCTGTTTTGTATATAAAGCTAACACTGTTTGTAGAAAAAGAAGCTCCCAATAAATGTACTCAATGTATCTATTTATAGGAATTAAATCCAAATCTTGAAATCCAAGTAATCATTTTGACCCACTGACAATGATACAAAATGGACAATCTGAGCTAATTCTTACATATACCTATAATGAAAATTTTACTAAACTGTGGTTCTCAATACTCCTTTCAAATTTAGAACTTATTTAAATCCAACTCTAGTTATGTAGTTTTTTTATATTGAAGTAGGAATGAGAGTATGAATGTGACAGAATAAGGAAGAAAAACAGTTTCTGAAAATGACTTGAGCATCAAAATGTTTGTGCCCTTTTACACAGATAAAGCTTTAATGAAACATCTACATTAGCCTGAATAGGGTAAAAGCCGTAAAGGAAGTGCGGAAGTATGCTCTGCTCTGCAACCACGACTGTGCCCAACTTTGAACTGTGTTTACCATTAGACTAGAAAAGATTCAAATACCCATGATAGACCCTACACTTTTGAAATCTATTTTCTAAGAAAAATAAGATTTAATATTAATCTCAGATAAATGCAGGAAAAAATTATTTTGTAAAGAGATATTGGTATAAAAGATTTTGCTTCAAGAATTTATAACCACAAGTAGGTCATACATAATTTTAAGCTACATTGCCGATCAGAGAAAAATATTATAGAAAGACACCTAAAGAGGCAATCAGTGTTGTGGTTTCCTGAAATAATACACACACATACATACATACACAATCTTAAACTCTTCATCAACGACTGAAATTTGTTTATGAATAAAAGATATCTTATTTAAACAGAAAAACTAAGACCTAAAATTAAACCTGGGGTTTCACTCATTGTTCTACTAATAATATAGAGTTTTAAAAGTAGCTCTTACTTTGAAAAGTCAATGCAAACATTATCAAGAAGACTAAAAGCAAAAGCAGTAAAAATAACAAAAAATTTAGACTTGCTTTCCCTACCTAAACCACCTATGTATGCATGTATGTATATGTGTGTACGTGTGTGTGTGTATATATATATATATATATATATTAATGTGAAGACATCTACATTGTGAATTTATTTCCCCATCAGAAATTCAGAATTAAAACATCTACTTACCAACCCAATACAGTTGCTTAAAGCCACTTTAGTTGTACTACGTTGATCTTGCAAGTATCCTGTGTAATGACAATTGTCTAAAAAATCATGTTTCCACTGGGGTCCATCTTTCCCCCAGTATTCTACGGTAAAATGTTTGGACACAAAATCTGTGTTGAGAGTCAAGTTTAGGTGAAAGTGCTTGCCATAGGCTGAAAGTTTAAAAAATAACTTAGATACTGCCTGCTGTGGATCGATAGGGTCCATACTCCGTCTTCTCCTGGAGTGTTTATCATTTTTCACAGTAAAGCTGAGGAAAGCTCCATTTTGATCAACCCTTATTGGAATAGTTAGCTGGTAGTGTTCTAGATAAGTCAGGAATTCCTCTTTGTAATCACAAGGCAGAGAATCCAGAAAAAAACACATGGAAGAAAAGAAAATTTAACAAAGAAATAGCAGTATACACAACAACTATATCAGTTAAAACTATGCATAATCATGTGCGAGGTATCTAAAGATAAATTAAGTTCCAATTATTTCATCCTCAAAATAACATTATTTTAAAATTATTTCAAAAGACTGTTTTTCTTTTTTAAATTTAATTTTAAGAACATGGATTCTAAGAGCTAAATTCTGCAGGAAATATGAATATTTTATACTGAAATTTAAAACAGTGAAAAAACACATATGTAAAAGAATAGAATTTAGCTCAGGTAAAATATGTTTGTGCAAGTTATCCAAGAGAGTTTATATAGCATCTCTACAGCTTTGTAGAAAATATTTTTTAATAAATCATCAGTTGAAATGTAAAATACTGTAGCCACTTTGTGGAACAGTCTGGCAGTCTTTCAAAAGATTAAACATGGAACTACCATCTGACCCACTATTAGGTAGATACCCAAGAAAATGAAAACACAATCCACACAAAACCTTGTACATGAACGTTCATAGCAGCATTATTCACAATCGCCAGACGGAGGAAATAACCTAAATGTCCAACTGATGAGTAAATGAGTAAAATCTGGTATATTCACATAATGGAATATTAGTCTGCAATAAAAAGGAATGTAGGGCTGAGACATGCTATGGCATGAATGATCCTTCATAATAACAGCCATCATAATCAAAGGTCATTATCTAACATAAAAACACGCGAAGTGAAAGAAACCAATCACAAAAAAACACATATTATATGATTCCATTTATATGAAATATCCAGAATAGGCAAATCTCTAGGGACAGAAGTAGAGTAGAGGTTGCCTAAGGCTAGGGATGGAGGATGGTTTGAAGGGAATTTGGGAGTGACTATTAATGGGTACAGGGTTTCTTTTAGGGATGATGAAAATGTTCTAAAATCAATTGTCACGGTTGTGCAACTCTGTGAATATAATAAAGCATTTGAGTTGTAAATCAAACTTTAAACGGATGAATTATATGGTATATATGTATCTCAATAAAACTGTTAAAAATCATCAATTGAAAAAAATTCAGAGGACTATGAAATATAATTTCCTCACTTAGATGTAGTAAATATTACCAATCTACCTTCTTAACCACATCTTCCTTTAGCTAGGAAAAACAAATGTCTGCCTCATGCCTTACTGTCTACATGTGGACTTCACCCATAAACTCCCATGAAACCACGATCAAATGGAAGTAAATTGAAAGATAGTATTTATTTTACATCTCATGAATAAAAGTTCATACTAAATGCTATGGCTTTGTCGATATACTTTGAAAGCCACATTTTATACATATGGATTTCTAGACATCAATAGCCTATAATACCCTTGAAAATCTGATTCATCAGCACCAAAAAATGATCTGTTACTATACATTCATGGGAGGAGAATCCAAAAGGTATGCTTTCAATAATTCTGTAAGTTTTGGACAGATCCATGGAAAACAAAATGACATTCGCTCCTGGGACCTCTCTGTTAAGATCTTTTCTATGATATAAAGCTCAGTTCCATAGATGAAAATCATAGGGACCTGTGGATTAGAATTTGAAAGGTTGAACTTCTTACAACTCTTACTTTTCACCCAGGTTCTAATGCTTAGATGAGAATTCTTAAGTTAGGAAAAGCATTTTGTCACTAAGGGTCCATATTAGAAAAATCTCATATCAAAATTTGTCTTGGTTTCTTGTTCTTTCATAATATAAACCTTTGGATTCCTTTTCAACATGACATTGTCTATAAACCTTAGCAACGAACGAGCCTGTTAAACTTTAGGATTCAGAAGAGGAATAAGAGGCCTGGGTCTATTATCTTCTGAGAAAGACCAGGCTAAAATCCACTGGATATTAAATACTAGTAGAACAAGGTAAAAAGACTCTTAGAACCCTTAACATATATGAAACGAGCACTAAATTGACACAGTAGACCTCTGCTGCTATCACTACATATCCCAAAGAAAATATTCACCCAAACTAAATATTAAGAATCTTCTCTTGTCAGATAATAACAATAGTTTTTATCAGTTTCAAAAGTAGGTATCCTACCTTGTGAACTGTATGAAAGCCTGTGGTCGCTATGAAATTCCGATGAAGCCATGATGAGGCTCAAAATCCAGGTCAACGTCTTCCACAAAATTTCCATAATTTAGAAAACTGGATGATTTTTTGGAGGGCTACCTATGTGCTAGAGAGTCAATACCATAGCAAATTAGTTATTAGATGGTCCACTGTTTAACAGGTACTTTTTCCAACATCCCGTACTTTCTTCTATATCTGGATTCATTTTTCTCAATCCAAAATGAAACAATTAATGATGGTAAAATTTTCATAAGCAAAGCATTAGGCTGATTAGTTACTAAAGTATGGCCATTTTTTAACCTAGAAAAACAAAAAAAATTTAAGTTAACTGAAAAATATCCTAAATTCACAGATCTATATTGCTGAATGCTTGCCAAAGGACATATACTACAAAATAACTTAATATAGTTAAATTGGACCATTGTTGTCCTGTATAGTCTAAATAAAATCCACAAGACTAAACACAGACTTAGAAACCTAAATGTTTGGCAGGATAATGTCAGAGCTACTTAATAATCAAAGAAGAGATCTGAAGAGAAATCATAAAAATTCTTTTTTAAAGAACTTTGAAGATAATGTGTGGGTACAGTGACTAAACCTCCTTTTGATAAAATAAAAAGTGGACTGACTTCACAATCAAAGTTCATTTTATGAAAGTGTTAAACAGTATGTGATCTCATTCCTTAACATGCAAGCATTTGGAACGACTCATATCCAGAGATTGATTTGTGGCTTTATGAGGCACCTATAATTTCTTCTTACAGAGTAGATCTATAAACACACAGTGACATTTAGCTGCTGTCTGAACACTCAGACAGTAACACAAACTAAACTTCTAAAAAAGTTGAACCATATTTACTGTAACCTTTGACTTTATCTGGAAGTCTTATATGACTCATAGGGCAATGCATGTAAGACAACTTCAACAACCCAGAATCTAACTGAAAGAAAAAGAAATTCATTTTCTGAAAAGAAAATCATTTTTAAAAATTCATTTCGAGTATCACAACAGATTTCATGTTCTATCTCAGGTCCTTTTCTTTCGACTTACAACCTCACTCAGAGTCCATGGATTCACATTTTATACAGAAAACTAGCATACCTGGCTACCAGATTTCCCAGCACACAAGCCTTTAAAAAGAAATTAACAAAGGGACTAGAGCTAGCTCATTAACAGCATGAAACTGACAAAAAACCTAAAAAAGTAGCTTTAAAATCCCAAATCAACACAGTTTGGGGCACAAACAGTCCTTACTTATATGGTTCAGCAGTTCCTACTGTGCATATGACTGTTATAGCTCAGTATCTAATATTCAAAATACTATGCCTGAGTCAGGAATAAAAGGTTAAATTACTCTTAATAAGATAGTTTACTGTTGAGATAGAGAAGTACACAAGATATTAGATTGTCCTTGCATATCCCTAATATATAGGATTATCATATAACAAATGCTTACATGTTTATTGGTTAAAAAAATGAAAGAGTAAATGAATAAATAAATAGTGGTTAAAATAAAATCCCTTTAGGCATATAAAAGAATATTTGTAGTTAATTGGAAAATTAACTTATGTGGAATACTTTCATTCCCTATGGTGCTAGAAATATCAGTTATTACAACATATAAAACAACCACAACTATTTAAAATTCCTTGTCTGTCTCTACAAGTTATTAAACTGGTAAACCTTAGAAAAACTAATTCATTAATCAACAAATACTGTCTTCCAATGTTTTCAAAATGATGTTATAACAGCATGGGGAAACAGAAAGGATTAAGACACAATGATTACTCATAATCTAAGTAACAAAGAAAGAAATTTCAAGGCAGACTGACATATGCCATAAAGTAGTTATGAAAACGTGTTACAGGAGATCGGATGAGGAAGATGACTTCTGAATCAGAGAAGGATGAGTCAAGGAAAGTTTATCAAAAAAGTAGCATTTGAAATAGGCCCTGGAAGATGTCAAATTGCTGCGGGCAGCCACTGCAAATCAAAGAAATAGAGGCTACAAAGTCTAAGTGGTAAGGAAAAAACAAGAGAAAATATTAGTAAAAATAGTAAGTTTGGTTCCTATGCAGAAGACTAACAGGTAATATCTGGAAGGGTAGTTTAAGTGCAGACCAAAAATACAGAGACTTTTAAATACGTTACTTCTTTTAATATTCATAACAATCTTGTGAAGTAGGTATTACTACCCCTGTGTCAGGCGGACTCCAAAGATCCTGTTTCCTGATACCCACGCCCTTGTGTAACTCCCTTCCCTTGAGTAATTTGATCCTAACCAATTGAAGACCTCAATGTGAAGGGGATGTCACTTCCATGATTAGATTACCAAAGATTCTAACTTCCATTTTACTAGTAGGCTCTCTCTCTTGTTGACTTAGACGAAGCAAGCTGCCATATGGAGAGGCTCGCATGGCAAGGAACTGAGAGCAGCCATCAGATAACCACTAGCAAGGAACTGAGGCCCTCAATGCAATAGCTTGTGAGAAACATAAACCTGCCCACCGATATGTAAGCCGAGAAGCAGTTCCCTTCCCGGTCGAGCCTTCTGTGGTGGCCCCACTGCCTGCCCACACCTTGACTGCAGCTTCATGAGAGACCCTGAAGTACCCGATATAGTTAATCCATGCCCACAGACTCCCGAACCACAAAAACTGTGAGATAATAAATGTGTGTAATTTTAAGCCACTAAATTAATGATAATTTTTCTTCTTTTCAGTAATTGATAACTAAGACGGCTGCCAATTTACAGAGAAAGAAGTTGAAGCTCATAGTAGTCAGAGAGCTAGAAAATAGCAGAGCCCAGAGTCATACACAAAGTTACTTGGCTCCAAAGTCTACATTCTTTCTGTTACATCATGCTTCCATTTTAAGGCACTCTAACTTAAAAATCAATAGCGGTTGCAAACAACCAGTGTGAAATAAGGTATTCATAAAACAGTATAGGCTAATTAACATGAACAGTTTTAAGCAACTTTATACGCAATAACTGTTTCATCTCAAAATTACCTCTACAATGATTTAGGCAAGACAGAAGGCACTATATAGCCTTTCTCAGGCAAAAATCTATGAAGAAATTAAGTCACACCATTATTCAATAACGGTATGAAAATAATCCAGTTATCTAGATTCCCAACCTACTACACACAGTCTCCAACTCCATAATTGCTGTTTCATGAACAACATTCACTCTTCATTGTTATTTTTTTCAGATCAACTAAGTGTTTGTACAATAATGTCCAACGTTAAATGAGTCCCTCCTATACTTTAAAATAATTTTCCTTTAAAGAGGAATATATAGCTGACATACTTCAGATAATTATCTACTAGTGGTGACAGATTTGTACTGAATTATTCATCCTATTTTTTCCCTATTTTCCTGGGCTTTGAAACTGATGACAAACTTATAATATAGTTAGCTGGGTTTGGGGAACAACTCTTTTCCCCCTTGAAAAATTTCCTGTTCTTGACAGTTTTGTAACCTCCACTCTTAACCATTACTAGCACTGTCCTGCAAACACCCAAGGTAAGGAAACCAGTAGCATTGACAGAACAAGTAATATGTAACTACTTGGCCAGAAGTAGACTAACATTGATTTAAAGGCTTATAGTAAAAAGGGCACTGGTGCATAGCAGAAAGCGCAGGAGCTTTGAAGTTAAACAAACCAGAGCTGCAATCTTGGTTCCAGCACTAGCTACAGTATCTGGCACGTGGGCACTCAATAAATTTGAGTTTTTTTCTCCTTTCTCACTCCCCACTGTTTTCAAGCCTCCAGTGTCAGTGAAGAAACTTAACAGTGAGTAAATGAGTTGGCTCAAGGTCAACTAATATCAACAATAACATATCTAACCACTCTTTGTCACCTCACAATAAAAATGAGTGGGTAACTTTTCTGACACCTGCTGGAGAGCTTAATCTGCATATCATCATCAAATATGTACAGGCACTGACTTTTCCAGGTTAGTTTCCAAAATTTAGGCTAACATTAAAATATTACATAACTGTCCAGAAATCGTAAAACATTAACTCTTTTTACACTGTATAGCAGGAACATTACTACGTTACAGAAAGCTCAAAGGCTTTGAGTCCTGGCTTGACTTCAAGTTACTTAAACTCTCTGGATCTGTTTCCTCATCTATAAAACTGTGATAATGATATCTACCTTACAAAGACTTGTTGAGAGAGTAAATTAGATTATACATGATGTAAAGTGTCCACACACTTCACTTTCATGACTAAACAAATATTAGCCCCCCTCTCCTCCTTATCTGACTCATCACTTTTCAAAAGCTTTCCTTCAAAAATAGTTTCATTGTTCCTCCTTCCCTCAAAAATGTGGAAGAGTTGGAAATGATGATGGAATCAATCAACTACGTTGTATTGTCTTACAGCAAACAGTAAAGAATTTAGGTCATGATAACTGGGTTTATAATACTTGAAATTTGAAAACAGAATCAAAACTGCCATTTTCCTTTGATTTCACATATGCTTTTCTCCTAATACAAATGCACCAGCCAGTAAAGTTAAGGGATCGTTTACCTGCTTCCATGGATCAAAGCTATACTAGCTAAGCAGAAATAAGATCAGGCAACTTGCACTACGGTAATTCCCTCAGTAGTCTGCCCTAGTTGAAGGGTAGTTACTTGTCTTTTTCCTCTATCATCTTTACTTCCCACTCAAGTGACCTGGGAAAGCCAAGGTAATAATTTCCTCTCCTGAGCTATTATTATGGAGCTAAAGAACATGTATAACATCCTTCTCAACTTCTTTCATCCATCTTAATTCTGTTGTGTTGTTGTTGTTTTTTTTTTTTGGGGGGGGGTTGTTTTGTTTTGTTTTTTTAAGGCTGATCTGGGCCTCACAGAAAAAGCAATAATACTATGCTCCCTTCAGGTATTTAATTTTTATATGTGTAAATTAATGTCTCATTTTATTTTCCATTTATTCTCTCAACAAATATTTATTATCATATACTATCTGCCAAGTACACCACTAGGCTGTAAGTACAAAGGTTTTCCAGATCATTTATAAACTTTGTGAGATTGGTTTTCAAGGAAAGGTATAATTAAATACACTCAAAACTTATCAAGAAAAGCAAATGAGCCAAAAGCAAAAATACAAAACATCATTCTACAAAAATCAAGCCCTAAATTACATATAGTCCCAAACTGTTCCCCCCATGACAAGTGAGATATATATTATCTGTATTATCACTTCTTTCGTGAAAAACAGAAATACCTTTTTTTCATGAGGTTAGCTCCAAATGTTGATAATAAACTATGCCTTTTGATATAACCAAGAGAGCTATCAACCTTTCCAAACTTTTTCCTCTTCCCCCCCAGAAATGTTGTAAAGATGTGCTATTAACTCTCTTAATATGTTAACTCTCTTTATTGTCTCACAAAAGTCACACACAGGGTAAGATTTGGCATAGAGACCCATCCTCAGCCACTAGTAGCTACTAGTGGTTGCTAAGGAAATGAAGAGGAAGTGGTAAGAGCCGACAAGAGTAAGAATTAGTCACACACGTATTGGCCCAGACATGAAAAGTATTAAAATAGTTCAGGTCTTGAGGTTAGAGATTTTTCTCCTTGAGAATCACAAAAATATTAACACCACAACATAGATTTCATTTGCTGCCATTTGTGGGCAAATGAATGAATTTGATTTGTTTGAAATCAACTATTTACTTCTATACGCTATTCTTCAAAAATCCAAAACACCAATGATCACATTTAAACACTAGATTAATATAAAACAGCTCTGCAGTTACCATCGGTGAAATACAGGAAAACAATTATCTCCCAAATTAATTTTCTCCGTTTCCTTCAACTACACCAGTTTTATTTTACATTTCTTTCCCTGCTATGAATTTTGAGAACTGTCATTCCCACATTTAAGTTTCAGTCTAATCAACATAATCTAAAAGGAGAAATAAAAACAAAAGAAAGAAAATTAGTCCAAGAAATTTAAACATAAAAGAATATGCTGAAAATCACACTCCATGTCTTTAAAAGTTCCAAGCAATGGTTCAGCTATCCTTTTCCTCCCCCCTCTTCTGCACACCCTCACGCCCCCCTACCGTCACCCCCCCACCCCAATCCCACTTCGCCCAGACAGAGGGTAACAGTCTGAGCTGCCCTGGTTGAGTTGATCCTAAAGTTAACATTCAGCAGCCCATTTCCAGACAGCAGCGCTAAATCTATTTGGATAAAACGCGTGTGACCCAGACAGTTGGCATTTGGCCCAAACGCGTTGCACCGGCAGCTCAAATAAAAACAAGAGTAAGAAACTCACTCTCTTGTTCCCTCTCAGTGCGCTTTCTCACTCTCTCGCTCTCTTTTCTTCTAGTACAACAAGGAAAGAAATTACCAAAGACAGGAGTTGTAGTACACATGATCAGAAGGCAGCTTTCCAATAACCCCTCCAGCACTCAACCCCCCCCCCAAATCCCTGAACTTTGATCCCATGTACCATATATACAGACATACCCCGATATTCAAGGCTCCGGAGGGTTATGAGTCTAGCACGTCCCAAGTGGCCAAAAGTAAATCAAAAACACACGCTTCCATCTCTTTGATTAGCCTATTAAGAGCTTAACATATCCTAGAGCATCAGGGCTACAGCTAGCACATTAATTCTGCCCTCTGAGCCCAGGCATAAACTATGCACTTGTCTGACTATTTAAGACACTGACATGAAACTATAAAATGCAGGTTTTTCTTTAAGAAAACTGGAAACAGTTTAAAATACACATCATTATTACTTTCCCGATTACTATTTGGTGATGAGTTAAAAGACTACAATATTCGTAATCAAGTCATACTTCACAAAACATGTCTATTCGTATATTAAACGTCTATATTTTTGCATCATAAAATACTTGCAAGACCCAGAATTCTCCAACCCCCGACTAGTCTGGAGTTAAAAAGATTTCTATCTGTAAAATGAGTTCAGTCAAGCTCACTCATTGCCATTAAAAACACACACACACACACACACACACACACACACACACACTCACTCACTCACTCACACAGAAAAAAGTTTTCTACGCGTTATTCGGAAGACAAGCAAAGCACAAGTTTTAATTTTTTAAAAAAAACGGTTTCATTGAATATTGTGAAGTCTTCCTTACCGTTTTCATCTTCAAATTCTGATAAAAAGTAAGTTTCAAACAATAGAGATTGCACTGGACGACTCACGTACTCCCTCTCCTCTCTTAACTTTTTTTTCTGCCCCCCTTTGCAAAGCCACAGCAGTCAGTTATTCTGCAGCCAGAATAAAACCCTATAGTCTGGCTAACCCTGGCTTTAGAGATCGGACTTTCTGATTTGGCAGAAAAAGAGATGCCTTCAATACATCCAGGCTATCATCCTGAGATGCTGCCTTTGCAAACCCCCTTTTTCTCCCGCCCCCCCACCTCCAAAAAAAAAAAAAAGGAAAGGAAAAAAAGAAAGGAAGGAAAGGAAAAAAAAAGAGAGAGAGAGAGACTTATTGGGGGTGGAAGTGGTGCCCTCTCTTCCTGGACAGCTTAGTGCCTTTGCTATGCAAATAACATGTGAAGAGCATCAAAAGGTATCAGGAGAAAAGAAGACAGGAGGAGCAGGAAGGGCAGCAAAGTTTTGTTGAAGTAGCCCTCACTACCGGCCCCCAGCCAACTTTGAATTGCAGCAGGAGAAAATTTTGGCAGCTTTTCCTCGGAGGCAGAGCACACTGACGTCAGTCTGCAGATGTGCCGGGCTGCGTCGGGTGCGCATGTGTCCTGGGTCGTCACGTGGAGGGGGAGGGGAGGTAGAGGTACAATCAGGGTAACTAACTACAAGCCATTCAGAAGGGCTTAGACAATGTCAACTTTTCCACCCTGTGAATGAGAGAAATTCTGGCCCTTCTAACCTCAAGCTCCTACCCCACTCCGCCTCTTTGCCTCCTCCTCCTCTAACCTCTTTTAGAAATTCTAGCCTGATCTGTGATTAGTTGTTTCTTGGAAAAAAGAAGGGGGAGGGAAAGGATGAATGACTTTAGATGAACTAATGTCACTGTTAAGATCTCTGGTGTCCTTCTCCTTGTATTTTTATTTTTTAAGTCCACACAACAGACGTATTAAAAGTTGCACATAAACAGTGTATTTGAGGAAACTTACAGAAAACGTAACATCGCTAGCAGATTTCAAGACTCGGTAAGCTACATGTGCACAAAATACCTTTTTTAAAAAAAATACACCTCCTTGAGTAAAATTGCCACCAAAAGGGAGAGTAGACTAAAGTAAACTAAAACCAGCACATTTTCCATCTGATTACCGACTTCAGGTTATGTGGGGCTTTAAAAAGGAAAAAAAAAAAAACTGGGGGAGGAGGGAGCGGGGGAAGAGAGAGACGCTTGCATTATTTCCAGATGAGGGTGAGACTGGATGGTGTTTTAAAGTGCAACCGGGGAAAGCTACAAGTGGAGTGTATTTTTTTAAGTCAGTACATTGAATGAAATCTCAATGACTGCCCAAATGAAAATAAATCCGAAGTCAGGACCCCCCCAAAAGGGGGGAGGGGTGCAGGAACCCTGCTGCGATCTTAAGATAAACAAACAAAACCTCAAAACTGGTTCTTCAAGCTTCCCAATCCCACCCTCCCGCAGTCCAACCCGCCTCCCCTCGCCCCAGCACCCCCTCCATACACATCAGCTACCGGTCTATACTTTAAGGATTAAACACCACTACAATGTAGCACTTTCACTTTCATTTGCTGGGAGAAAGCCACTGGCATTAAACTGGGGGGGAAATACCCAAATATGTTTTCCATGTCCTAAGCAAGCAAACAAAGTCTGGCACACCAATCGGAAACAGGAAAAAAATGTGAAAATGGCTCAAGACAAATGTTGTCTTTCAGCGGTGTAATCTGCTGCATCATTTATCTGTCTCTACCATTGAGTGTAGGATAGGAAGAGGTTTAAGAGTTTCCGAGGTTGGGGGATGGGGTGGGGGAATTGACGCCTTGAAATTCCAGGCGGTAGTTAACGCCAAGTCAATTTCCGATGGCCAGAACCAGAAACGGGAATTGGACCGGAGGGAAGGGGGGGAGAGGAACCTTCTTAACACCGGCTCTTAAGTTTCAAGCTTCTGCTAACATTATTGCTCATTTGATTTTTTTTTTCTTCCTACACCGGANCTTAACACCGGCTCTTAAGTTTCAAGCTTCTGCTAACATTATTGCTCATTTGATTTTTTTTTTCTTCCTACACCGGAGGTAGTAGGTGTAATTCTTCTGGTGAATACATGAATAGTTGGCTAAAAGAAGGCATGAATCAGGCTGAGAACGTCCAAGAATACAGTTATTTCCATTCTGTTTTTGAGGGTTGAAAGGGGAAAGCATCTGTCCACGGTCAATAGTCCTCATCTTGACCTTAAATCAGTAGTATTTGGCTCAATGCCATTTAAAACACAGAAATACGTCCTGTGGTTGGCAATCACCGTTTTAAATAAAGATGATTCATATATATATATATATATATATATATATATATATATATATATATATATATATGATTCAAATATATATTTGCATTAACATACATGAGGTGGCTAATCTCGTAGCAATAATTGTTAACACCAAAAATAAGAAGAGTGGGCATCGCTGTTTGTGCACCAAACCATCCTTTAAACAGTTGTAAACCTTGTCCTTCTCAAAATCTGGTGGTGGATAGACACAGCCAACACAGAAACTGAAGTTAAGGTGTGAGTAGTAATCATCTATATAAGCTACCTGAAAAGTTTTTATTCTCAGCTAAGACAAACTGCTCTAGGATACAGCAACATTGTAAAGGAGCTTATTTCAGTGAGAAGTGGACTTTGGCTAATTACTTATTCAAAGAGTGCCATCCTGCGTCTAAACAGAGTAATGAAGATTTTCCAACAGATTTTCTCCAAATGACTGAGTTAAGAAACAACAGTATGAGTGAGTAAAGGTGAAAAATTATTACCGTGAGAAATGGATTATGTCCATTTAACTTTATATATGTGTGTATGTGTATGTTTGCATGTTTACATTTTAATTGCATTACAGAAAATTCAAACACATACAAAAGTTAAAAAATCATGTAATGAACTCCATCCAATGTATCTATCCATCATGCAGTTTGAACAAGTGTTAACACATGACCAATTTCCCCCCATTACTTCCTCCACCCCGCTGGGTTATTTTGAAGCCAATTCCAGATAACATTTCATTGCATCCATTAAATATCTACTTGTATTTCTAAAATATAAGGACTACTATACCACTATTACTCTACAAACAATAATTCCTTAATTTCATCAGATATCAGAGTTCCTCAATTGCAAATAAAGGCTTTAAAAAAACCCTCTTTTATTGAAATTAAGATCCATATATTGCATTAGGTTGATCTCCTGTGTCTCTTTTTTTAAACTTTTTATTGAAGTAGACCATGTATACAAAAAAGTACATAAATATAAAACTTGATGAAAGTGTTCAGTCTAATGAATTTTCATGAAATGAACCTGCCCATGTAACCATATAACTCTTTTAATCTATTTTACTCTATCAGTTCCCCCTCATTTCTTCTTTATCTTGCAACACAAATGCTATATTAATATTTTGCCATCTTAATACTTACTATACATAGCATTTCTGTTAGTATGGAAGTGTTTTTGTGTAATACCCATGCATTATTTCTCAATTGAATTATATGAAGCAGGGCCAGCCAAGTGGCTCAGTTGGTTAAGAGTTAGCTTAAGAGCACGAGTTCTGAGCAACAGGGCCGCCGGTTCAATTTCCACAGGGGCCAGTGAGCTGCGCCCAAGCTGAGCTGCTGCTGAGCTGCCAACAGGTGGCAGGATGGCTCAGCTGGTGAGAGCACGTGCTCCTAACAACAAGGCTGCCTGTTCAACCGTGGGCTACATCCGCCTGCAACTAAGACTAAACTCGGCACCTTGAGCTGAGCTGCCACCTGGATGGCTAATTGGGTAGCGCATGCGTGCTTAACAAACAAGGCTGCTGGTTTGACTTCCACATGGGATGGTGGCTACGCCCACCTGCAACTAAGATTACAACACAGCACCTTGATCTGAGCTGCCAGCTTGTATGGCTCACTGGATAGAGCGTGTGCTCTTAACAACAAGGCTGCCGGTTTGACTCCTGCATGCGATGGTGACTATGCCCACAAACAAATAAGATTGTAACACAGCACCTTGAGCTTAGAGGCCACAAGCTGCTGACAGGCAGCCAGATGGCAACCGGCGCCCTCCACCAAAAAAAACAAAAATTTATTATATGAAGTAAATTTAAACACTGAATGAATTTAAGTTACAGTAGAAATTCTTTAAAATTTTTATAATAACCAATCCTTTATTCTTTGAAAACTTTTCCCTACAGCTTTCCTTTTCTCTCAAATGAAGAATATGGGCAGAGTAGAGTTGATAATAAGCTCCCTACTAACACTTGAAAAAAAACTGTGCCTTCAGAAGCCTAATAAATCTAAGTGAACAGGGCCCTTTCAGGAAATCAAAGATGGAATAAATGGAAAGTTGGGAGAGGAAGGGATATGCATGCATGCATGTATATATGTATATATTTCAGGGGCTGAAAAACAGAAGCAACAGAAGAGTTTGAGAACCAGTGAATCAGGAATGAGAAACTTTTAGAGGTAAAAAATAACTTCTAACCTAACCTAAAATTGTTAATATATTTGCATGTAAATTTAATATTTTAGTTAAAAACCAAGGCATTTCTTAAAATTAGTCTATTGCCTGTATTTCAGAAAAATGAGATGAAGAATTCTGATTTTATGCCTGCTTGGAATTATTAAATTGGGGCAGGTAACTATCTCAAAAGATGATGAATTTTGAATTCTACCTCCCAGACATTAAAACCAGATTCAACACACTGAAACCAAATTCTATACACTTTCTACACAATACATTTTATTCTTTCAATGAGACTGGATTTGAATTTGATATAGTGAAAATAAATATTTTCTAAATTTTTAAGGGTTATTGTAGGATTTCTTAAATAAGATACAAAAGCTCAAAGCATAGAGGAAAAGATTGATGAGTTTAACTTCATTAAATAAAATTTTTTAAACCGCTAAAAAGACAAATGTGAGCCAGAGATTGGGAGAATTTGAAACACATGTAAGTAAAACATAATAAATATCTAGAATACTGAAAGAACTCTCACAAATCTATAAGAGATAAGAGTGCTAATGTAAGAACCGTCCAAACCTACCTGTAGAGAATCTTTCATGAATTTCAGCCAAACTGACATTTGCCGGGAAGCAAAATCTCAACAGATTGAGAAAATGCTCTGGAGAATGGCAGTTTCGCAGCTTATTTTATACATTAGAATAAAAGGAGGAGACGTAAGGAAGGTTACATGAAATC